TTTTCCACCTTCAGGGACGAGACGCAAGATCTATTTTAGGCTTTTCAGTTTGCAGGTGGAAATCTATTTTAATTGTCTCCGCCACATTTGCGGCGCGGCTTACCTGGCTTATTATCTGTTTACGATTTAAATAGCTAAGAGGAAGTACCGGGTATATATAATGTGCCAAAAGATTTTTATTATCTCCAAACGGCCGCGGAAGAGGCGGATCGTGACTTGAAGCGCTTCACATTTGAATGATCGTGATACATGGCGGGCCTAGCTGATGTAAAAAATACGAAAGCTGTAGTTTCCACGAGCCAGTCACCGTTGCGAATTTGCGCCGAGGTTTTAAAACGTAAAAACAAGCTGACAGTTTTTCTGTCCGCGGCAAACATCAGTTGGATTTCTCATTCCACATTCCTCAAACATCTAAGAAACCGAAGCAACTTTGATATATTCAGCCACTACCTACAGTTACTACGGAATTATTCATAAAATGGTGGCCGAGCTTATAATTACCCAGAAACAATAAATAAGCCACACATTGTTAACAATTTTACGCAGTTCGCGAAAATTACAATGTTTTATATGATGCGTACATTTTATTGCTGTTGGATATCGTTGCTGGAACTGTTGGCAGAACTGGCAGTAATGGCAGTACGCAGCTTGCCAGACACCGTTATAACCGAGAAAAATCAAATTATCCGCTTAAGGTCACTAATCATAGATATTCTATTAGAATAATTGCAACGGGTACAATAATGGGAAAGTGGTTTTAGACAACTTGTTTATGAAGCCATCAAACTTCTTTTTAGGTATGATGCTGAAAACTTCAATGGCGTCACGGTTTTGCAACAAACAATTAATTTGTATTCATATTGCATCTATGTTTTTCATAAACATGACTTTCAGGAATGTTATGCTATATTTTATAGATAAGGATCATGCATAGCACTGAAATAACATTGCAAACATATATTAGATATAGGTTAAGTACCTATACCGTACCTGGGTAATAAAGACTTTTTTACTTGAAAAGTGACTCTCGAATTAAACGTTTTATGTATCTTTTTTTAAGTATAATAAATAACAAAAGTGAAATATACAAGGGTAGGCACCTATGTAGGTGCATTGTACATGTATGCGCAGGTACTCGGAAACTCTTTGTTCGATCATTTATTTACCGATCGTTGAATGTTTAGTACACCTAAGTATCCTGAATCCACATACGTTTTTTTTTTATTATTTTTAAAACGATGCCCCACGTTAGGATTTTCTCCTGTGTCGTGGCTGCGTTTACAAACATACAAGTTCACATAAACATGACACCCAGACTCGGAACAACAATCTATGGATCACACAAAGAGTTGTTCCTTGCGGGAATCGAACCCGCGATACGTTGCGTGGAAGCCAGTTGAGCAATCACCTCGCCAACCGTGCAGTCGTAAGATTTATGTAGCTAATTTGCAAAATGCAAAAATAATTTTGTTATGTTGGCTGGATGCAATAATTAATTAATATCCAGGAAGTGTGTCGGCACGGGGCGTCATGTTGTGCAAGTGAGCAGTAAATCAACATAAATCAGTCATGTCAAAACGTTTGCCCGCCTTATTCCGGCCGGGCGGGCGGGCGGCGCAGGCGCACCGCTGTGTAAGCAACCTAACTCATGCGCTGTTTGCTTAGCCCCGAGTTATAATCTCCCTCCCGACATTAACGCGCTTGTGTATTACATAACTTGCAAATTAAATCTCATATTTATGCACTACATGAGTGGAGTCATATGTTATCTGCTCCGCTCCTCCGGTATTTGTTCTCCATTCATCCAAATAACACTAAAGTATCCGCCTTACTGCGCGACTACGAAAGGGTTTCACAATTTCTTTGAAATGAATATGTTTTCATCGTAAATACTTAATCATAATATTTCCATCTGCTGAACGATGACAGATTTTAATATTTTATTTCATGTTTCAGCTATCAAGGCTGAGAAATTACGAGCCGCTAACGAAAGCTTCAAAATAAACCACAATAGTTACATAATTTATTAGTTTACTTGAAGATGATTACTGGACGTACATCTATTTTTGTACATAGCAAGCAAAAAACAATTTAACTGGTACTAACTAGTAAGCAAAACTTCGGAATGTCGTTAGGAGAAAAGGGCACAAATACATGAAAGACTAGGTACCTAATTCTCCAAATACCATAAACTTATTAACATTCAATGAATAAAGTACCTACTTTAATGATTGTTTAGTCTGTTGGTAAAGGAAGTATCGCTTCATACACATTATTTATCCGCGATCAGTCAAAAATGGATGTTACCATTGACAGGCCGTATTAACAAGCACTTTTGATTGTATAAATATTGGGATTTTTGCTCGAGTGAAGTGTTGTTTTTCTTTAACCTAGTCTAGACATTGTTTTTAAATACTTCGTTATAATTCGGTATGTAGCAGCACTTTTGTAAATGTAAGAAATACTTTCAAAAGTAGATGTACAAAGATAAGATGAACATAGAATTTTGTAGCGGTTTGTTGCCTAATTTGAACTTCTATTATGATAAATTATAATAAATATCATAGTGGGAAAATTCTAAGGTCCCTTTCAGTTTATACATACCTTTTTTTTGATGGGCAAAATCATCCAATGACTCCTCCCGCTCGGGCGAGGCGAAAGGGAGTATCAGACTCTTACTGACTAAAAACCACCCCGTTCCTACTCCAATACTTCGAACCGTAGTCCCGGCAATCCGTTAAGTCTTCCGCGGCTCCGTATCGGAGTTTTTACATACCTAGATATTGGGATTTCTTTTCGACTTTTCTCAGAGAAAGAGAACGTTTTGCGAAAAAATACGCAAACAGGATAACTCCTACTTTAGGACAACAATAAAACAACGTAGATACAGTATGTACCATGATTTATTTTAACAAACAAGATATACATAGCTAGGTACTGTAAATTTGGGCTTAAATCTAATTAAATTCTAAGTCAGTCTACTTGAGGAAAGTTATCATTCTCATGATATCACCACATTTTACATACGTATCACACATTGATAAATATTATGGAACACTCGCTTGATTTATAAAGAAATCTATTTTAACAAAATCTCCTTTACTTAAAAATAATATCTACTTGCAATAATGTTTGTGCGTCTAAACTGAGGCGCCGATTTTATTAATTCTTACTTGTCATTGGCATCAGGACAAGTTTTAAGACAATATAAATCAACACAAAAATAATTATTATTATTTGCCACAAAAGAGAAAGCTGCAGAAGCGAATTTTATGAAAATGGCATAAAAATAGCTTCTCAATAATATTACCTAAGGTAATAACCATAACATGTGACGTCATATTATTATACTTTTCATCCTTACAGATGGTTTAGTATAAGTTCGCCTAACGTTTACCGAGGTCGAAACGAGACCGCATTCGGCGCTCTTATTGGCCGGCTCCAATGAAGTAACCAATCAGAGCGCCGGACGCGGTCTCGTTCAACAAATTCGTATTAAACCCTCAGTACTGCCGCATAAACTCATGTTTAAATAATATGTTAACAAAATTGAATTCTTAACTTAATATAATATAATAATCACTATTTACTTAACAAGTTTATTATTGTTTTTAACACCTATCTAATAAAATTCACCTAACAACTCAATTGAAAATAAAATTTTATTTTCATTGCGTTGTATTGGCTGGTAGGAATTCAGTACTGATGAGTCAATGCAGGCTAAAGTCAAGAAAGAAAGAAAAAGAAAGAAGGTATGTACTATTCAAGTATCTACCTTTATAAATGAATATTACTTATAAAGTAGGAAACATATTAGTACTTAACAAAACTCATAGAGAAAATTCTTTTGAGAACAAAGAAACGAAGCCACTAGAGATTTTTCTTTTCATTTCTTAATATGTTCTGATACAAGTACGTATTTTATTAATTAGTAACGTATCTCGTATAAAAGGAAATTTAGATACCTTTAAAATGAGATCATTTTGAAGAACTTAACATCATGCTTTTTATTCCCGATGGAGTAGGCAGAGGTGCACATTACTGTATTTAATCCCACTGTACAATGTAACACTCACTTTTCACTATTTATGTTATGTGTCTCGTGTAATAAGGGGTGAGCCTATTGCTATATACCGGGCACAATTCCAGACTCCGTGCTACTACTGAGATATCATTTTTAAAAACTCAGTTTTTACTTTGCCCGACCCGGGAATCGAACCTGAGACCCCTTGCCTTAGCAGTCGCACTTGCGACCACTCGACCAACGAGGCCAACGAGGAAGAGAGCAGTTTATTGCGGAAGTAATATTTTTTTTTAAGTTATAGAGAATTCAAGTAAAAACGCTGGTTACTCACGTGAATATACTGAGAAAAGCTCTACTAGTTTCGAACCACAGAGGGGTTCTTCCTCATGAGCAGCGTGAGCTGCGCGACGTCGCCGCGACCGACCGATGTAGTATGTCTCACGATAGTTATTATAAAAATAATAGAGAATTCGATAAAATGAAAAAAAAATGCTCATGGCTCCGTTTCGTTGCTCTCAAGAAGTGTAGGTTTACGATTGCAAAAATATGACGTTGTTACGGATGTGTTGACCGCGTATTAATCACATAAAAGAGTTAGCAGTAAAATGTATAATTGAGTTTAGTGGCGTTGTTCACTTTATAGTGAACTTTTATTAACTGTTAATGCTCTTTAAGTATGGCAAACGTGGCAACATTTTATTGTTAGGGCATTAAACGAGGTATTTTAGGAATCTATTATTTATGTTACTATTACTATCACGTGGCGGTGACTGGTCTGTCCAACACGTTGTTTCAGATTCGATATTGAAGTTCAAACAATGTTTTTGATTTACATTTGGCACAAAACAATGCCTGACTAAGTGGCGATGTGTTTAATAGTATACTATACTTAAAGTGAGTGTATGAAAAGTACACATTGATTATCCATTTGAAAATAACGATGTAATAAACGAGTGTAATGACAATGACACTTGTATTATCTTAACTTCTGGTGTAGAAGATACAGGACTATACTCCCGGTGATTAAAGCGCCGCTCCTGGAAAAGAATACCTTATTAGTACATGCCATTGATGTTAAATTACAACTACAATACACACATTTTATTCAGAGTCAGTACTTAGATCAAGCAACTGTCTGTTTGACCTTTATTACATAACTAGCTAAACACGCAACTTGGTCGTAGTTTTTCTAAAATAAATACCTATGTTACTCTTTAGTACATTAGCTACCTGCCAGTAAAAAGCCCGTCGAAATCGGTCCAGCCATTCCAGAGATTAGCAAGTACAAACAGACAGACAGACAAAAATTGTAAATAGTGTTATTTTGGTATAGGTATCTACCGTATGTATATTCATATGCATGTAGTAAAAAGCGGTTATTTCAATATTACAAACAGACAATCCAATTTTATTTATTTATAGAGTAGTATTTATATACCTAAGCTTAACTTGTGAGAAATAAGTTGGAAATTACTGTACCTAATTATCTTTTAGGGGAATAAAAAAGGGCGTGATGTTATCTTCATTTTAGATATAATAGCAAAAACTAGCTTTAAGAACAGACCAACATATTTTTAACACCAACTGTACAGTTAAAAATGGTAAAAGTCAAACCTCCACTAAAGTCCACTAAAGTATAAATGGTAAAACCGGTGACTGCGGGGGTGATTTAAGGGTTAAATATATTCCTGACATTCAAAAGCATCGTTGTAGGTGTTATTAAAATAGATTGCTTGGCGTGTAAGGGGTTGAAAGAAAGACAGCGAAGGAGAAAGGATACTGAGATGTCAAATAAGTGTTAAGATATTTATATTTAAAAAAGTATTTTCAGACTATCCGTGGGAGGGATGACTTTGTACATCGTGGGGAGATTGTTTTAGCTTTGGGTTTAAGTAAAATAATAATCAGCTCTAGGATCACATCCCGGTAAACGTGAAGTACTATTAGTGCGAGTTATCTGAAGTAGCATGAGCAGCATAGTTTCACTTTTGATTTTTTGTTGACGTTCAAAGGCGTCGTAGTGGCCCGGAGGTTTAAGACATCCCCTTCTCATGCATGAAGGTGCGGGTTCGAAACCTACAAACGGTAAGTACCAATGTGACGTTTTCCGACTTATATGTACTTTCTAAGATTATTTAGACACCACTGACACGGTGAAGGAAAAACATCGTGAGGAAACTTGGGCTTATAATTTCTAATTATAAGTTTGAATTCACATCCCGCATTGGGAAGCGTGGTGAATTATGCTAAAACCTTCTCCGTGTGAGAAGAGGCATTGCTCTGCAGTGGACATTTTATAGGCTGTTAATGATGACGTTCAAACGTCTAATTTAAATAAATGATTTTCACTTTCACATGGAGTCTGAATTGGATTTCATGACAGTATTTTCATAAATATTTGCTATCCAGTAAAAAATCTCAACAAGTTAATAAACAACTAGCAAAAATAGTCTAAGCATTTAACGTTTTATAAATATTTTAATTTAAAATGAGTTACAAGAAAATGTATTTATATAAATTGAAATACAAATTCTTGAATGTAAAAAATAAGCGCCCTGGTCATTACATTCGTATTTAAGCCAGCAATATTATAAAATACACCAAGTTTGTTGTATGGGCGTGATACAAGTATGATTTATATTATTAATATTCAAAATACTGCTCACTGGAATACAGACATCACTTTCATTTAATCTTCGACTATTACTTGTACAAATAAATTACATTTTGCGTAAGAGATCATCAGCAAATGAAACGTAGGTAATTCTTTTCGCTGATTTCTGACAATCACTATTACTAGTATGCGAAAACCACGCTGTTTGTTATGTTTTCGATGAATTTAGTACTGGCTTAGTACGAGTTTATTTTACGCATAAGATTGACAACCGAGACCGCGTTTGGAGCTCTGATTGGCCGGGTCTAATGAACCAAGCAATCAGGGTGCCGAACGCGGTCTCGTTCCGATTTCGTTAAATGTACAGTAAACGGAGTGCCAAGCATGAATAACTATCGCATTTGTAACATAATAGTTCAATTGGTTGGTTCACTGGAGCCGAGCCGAGAACGCGTTCGATACTCTTAAATTACGATGCGATAGTCATTCGTGCTTGGCACTCTAGTACTAAGCTCTCAGGTAAATAATAGAATTTGAGAAAGGACGAATAGACGAAAAGTCTGTCCAAATCAACTACATGTTCCACGCGGACCAATTCGCAAGAAAAAGCTATTGTTAGTTTCTGATTCTCAACAATGAGAAGGACTGTTTGTAAGGTTACTGTTTATTATGGACTAATTCCGTTTTTTCTAGAAGGTCAGAAAACGTTCTTATCCTTTTACATTGTGGTTTATAAAGACTTTACTAAACTCTTAAGAAGTAGAGAATTGAACTCAAGTCAAGTCAAGGCTAGTTGCACGGCAGCTGATTGCGTAGCTGCTGCGTTAATATTGTTAAATATAAAAGAAAAATGCGCGTGTTGAGAAAAACATTAGTAGTTTCTTTATATACTTACCAAAGGGCCACTCTCTTAGCTGGCGAGTGACTGTACAGTGCTATTTTGTACTCTTTACTGTTCTTGAACTCCTTCAATATTTTTTGGGCGCTGTAAAAGATTGATTATATGTAGTGGACTAGTCACATTCCAAATATCAAAACTTAAATATTTTACAGTGAGTCTCTCGCTCGTTAACAACTTACACTTGTTGACTGCCGGTGGCTATTAGGGCAGCTTTGTTCCCATAAGGCTTGATATCAATCGACCCGTAGGCTCCCAGCTCGGACGCCACCTGCGACACGTGACAAACGTCAGACACATCACAACCCTGGCCAGGTCGCGATGAAATATAGCCACGACCGGCACTCGTTCTACGATGAATTTTATTTATATCTCAACCTTAAATCAACCTTGACAGTGGCATGAAAAAGATTTTGTACATTACAGAAATCAAACACCGGCCGCACCGGTTAAAAAACGGGTCGGTACGAAAATAAAGATTTTCGCCTGTGACACTTGGGCATTATCAATCTGTTTTAACTAGCAACGGGAAATATGTGCAGAGCGGGGGAGGCGGCGTGTGTGCGTGAGTGTGCGTGTGAGCGCGGGAGCTGGCGCGGCGCCAGGCGGGAGCTGCGCCCGACTCCCGACGTGACAATTATTACTACCATAACCGTTTCTTAACATACTCCGCTAAATTTGGCTCCGAGGATACCGACGCAGATGAACCCGACACGATGTTTACGATCCGAACAAAAATAGCATTGTTTTCCACCCGTTATGTAATTCCTTTTGAGCTCTGCCAGATTACGATTGTATCGGCCGTTATGACCATTATTATGTGCTGCAGCTAAAACATTGCTATTTTGAAAATAACAGGCGGCGGAATTGTTCGGCGGTAATTTATTGTACATTGACCTTAGGATGTAGTAATTACATAGAGTTGCGGGGAGGTTAGCTTGGCAAACGTCAACAATAATATATTTGGAGGAATGTCGAACGTAATTAAACGGGGGCTGCGCATGAATGCATTCCAGCGCGGACGGCGGCCGTCGAGTGAGGAGCGCGCCGTGGAGCAGCATTGTATTTATACCGGGAGTATATCGGGAGGCGGACGAACACTGCAGATAGAGTAGATAGTGCCGAAATCCTTACTAATATTATAAATCGAAAAGTGAGTTTGTTTGTTTGTTTGTTCCACTTTCACGCCGTAACTACTAAACCGATTGCTTTGAATTTTTGCAGACGTGAAGTTAGAAGTATGGATTAAATAATAGGATACTTTTTATCGCGGAAAAATTTGATATTCTCGAGGGAAAATGAAATTATTGGTATAGATGGCGCTGTGTGTAATGATATATGTCACATAGGCTACTTTTTATCCTTTTGTAACGCGAGCGAAGCCGCGGGTACAAGCTAGTACATAATAAATGTTGCGCTTCTACGGTCTATAATAATAAATACAACAAGCATACTAATGATGAATCAAGCAAATTGTGTATTTTTACACCTAATGGAAGACGCTCGCGTGATGACGATGAACTCGTCGATTTAACAGCTATTTATTAAATGTATTTATAAAAGTGCAACAGCTTTGTAGGTGTGTAATAAAAATCTTAAACTCATTCATTCACTGACAGACGATGCACAGCTTGAATAGGTAGATGTAAAACCATAAAATTTTATGCACATGAATTTGTTAGAGATCGTTGCGTATAGGAAGTTGAATCCAACTCAAATCACGATCGAAATCAACATATAATTATAAATAACTAGCTTTTACCCGCGGCTTCGCTCGCGTCAAAAAAGGATAAAAAGTAGCCTATGTGACTATCCATCCGTTCAACTACCTTCAGTTAAAAAATCACGTACCTCCGTTCTGCCGTTTAAGACAGGCAAACAAACAAATAGCTTTCCGCTCGCGTGGAATTCTGTTATATCGCGCTATTTAGATTTTTCCAATAAGTAGGTAATTCGTTGACTGGTTTTAAATGACATACAACGCCATCTATACCAATATTTTTGTTTTTCCTAGAAAATATCAATTTTATCCGGGATAAAAAGTACCCTATTAACTAATCCAGACTTCTAACTTTACGTCTGCAAAATTTCAAAGCAATCGGTCTAGTACTTACGGCGTGAAGGCGGAACAAACAAACAAACAAACTCACTTTCCGATTTATAATATAAGTAAGGAAGTAAGGATAGTATTAATAAGATAGTGTTAGTTGTGTGTGCGGTTATAGCTGAACAGATTTTGATGAACTTGAAATGTCATTGACGTTAACTTTTTTACTGTAAACTAAAACCCTTCAAGTGAAGAAAGAGTACGATAGTTACATATATATAACATCACGCTTTTTATCCCCGAGGGAGTAGGGAGAGGTGTACATTATGGCAATTAATACCACTGTACAATGTAACATCCACTTTTCCCTATTTATGAAATAACTGACTACATGTAACGGGTACAATTCTAGACTCCGTGCTACTACTGGAAATATAAAAGCCCAGTAATACTTTGCTCGACCCGGGAATCGAACTCGAGACCCCTTGTCCAGCAGTGCGCGCGACGAGGCAGGCAGTTAGATAGAATTGTTAAAATATTCGTATTTAAAAAATTTACACAAGACATAAGCAAACTTATAATAGTCGAAAGAAAAGAAATTACCTTGCCGACATTGATGGAGTTTTCCTTCAATAACATCAAATGCAACAGCTGAGGACGAAAGCGTGGCGGATCGTCTTCCGCGAAATTCTGAAATAACAGAAATGATACATGTAGGTTTTCATACATTCACAAAACATAAAAAACGCAATAATTTTCAAACGTAAAATACGATGTATAAAACTCATGGAGAATTTCAAACGGTATTGTTTAGACATATATACACTGCGGTTTTATTGTTAAACAATATGTATTGTCTTGGTCCAAGAGTTGAATGTCAAATTATAATCTTTCTTGTGAGTTTACCTGTATAGTAATTATCATAGTTAAAAGTTATTTAATAGTACTTTTAAAGGCAATAAATAAAGCTATTTTCGTAGGCCACAATGTCTTATTCAGATATAAAATGTAAAGGGTTTATTATCCATTCATACTCTCGTTATTTTGACACACAAACCGCAAATAAATTATTTTGTACTAGCTACTTCCGCGCGGTTTCACACGCTCTGCTCAGCTCCTATTGGTCGTAGCGTGATGTTTTATAGCCTATAGCCATCCGCGATAAATGCGCTTTCCAACACAAAAAGAATTATTCAAATCAGACTTGTAGTTACGGAGATTAGCGCGTTCAAACAAACAAACAAACTCTTCCGCTTTATATAATAGTATAAGAGTATTTGTTTACCTAAAGTAGTTGAGTAAATAAAACTAGCCATAGATTCATTAATAAAACATAATTTACGACCATTTGCGAAATTAAAAAAACAAATGGAACATCGATAAAATTGATTTCGTTTTAATTAAAAAGGTTTTGTTACGTTTAATCGGTATGGAATGGGCGAAAGTAAAGATGAATAGAATATCTGTGGATAGTTACAAATAGTACTGAAGATTTAAAAATATCGCAGTGACGGGTACTGGATTCCATCATAATTCCTAAACACGAACTGTTCGCATCTCTCATCGAGTCTTTTATATCTGGCAACTCTAGAGGGAACGCGAATGTCGTCGATAAATGAGCAATCACGTCGACGTCTCTATTGTTTGCCGACAGATGTATGGTTGATGTCGATAAATTATATTATTTAGGGTGAGGAAACATGAGTTTATTTTTCTATTCATTTGCGAAACATGTTAGTGGTTTTTGTTTTAATAGTATAGGAAAATGGCTTGATTGTACAAATAATCATAATTTTTTTCAAAGTTCAAATATTTACCTATGTTGACGAGAATTTTTAAGATATATGTCTCTATATCTATGGATGTATATGCGTTACTCTTCACACTTTTACACAAAAACTACTAAACGGATTGAGATGAAACTTGGCACAGAGCTAGATTACAGATGGGCTTTGCATCCGGAGAAAAGTGAAGTTGAGAGCAGAAATTATTAAAGAAATATAAAAAATAATCTTATGAACTCACCATGTACTGAACCGCTCCACGAATGACGTTGACCTTGTTGCAGTACGGTTTGAGCACCTTCAATTTCTCCGTGGGTCCTACAGTGGCGAAGTTGCCTCGATTCTCACACGCCACCCAATGAGCCAGCCGGATGAAACAGAATCCTATGAACATTTATAAAATACATGGAGTTTCTTCTGATTTACTTCGTTGCGGGAACCAAGACAGCTATTTATGTTCCTGGGACGCGCTGGACTTCAGTGTTCCGGTGTATTTATGGTTGTATCTACTGTAGATCCTAGCTTATAAGAGTTGCAGCGGTTTTGAGGGGATGTGGCGGGTTTGCTCCATAAAAAATACATGTAGTTTCTTGTTCGTTCATCTTCATGCGAATCCACATTTTAGAACGAGCACCTAGTTTTACTGACAAACCGACTAACGGACAATTCAATTTTACCGTATCCAAAGTGCCTATTGAACGTTTAATGGGGGCTAACGTTTTATTGCTCACCAGATGGCGCAAATGTAGGATAGGACTTTTTTGTCCAATCAGTGCAGCATTCAAATATTGAACGTCCAATGGTGGGACATCAGCTAATTCCCTAGTAGACCCAGGTTCACACTAGCGCTTTACTATTTTACTAGACTTGACATCATGTGCATCGTTTCCATATTGAGCAAATAATTGTTGCTATTTTTATGGGATTTACTAAAATTATTCGGTATATTTATAATAAAACTTTCGTGGGACATACTAAATTAATTATTATGTTTTCGGCTTACTCACGTAACTGTTTGACGAGGAACTCGACTAGTCTCAAGCCATGCTAGAAGCTTACATTCATAAGCACGACACACGACACTATTCCGCGACAGCCGCCGCGTCGCATGTTACGTGAGTAAGCCGAAAACATAATAATGAATTTCTCGGTAGTAGTACAGAGTTTAGAATTGTGCCCAGTATATGGTAATACTCATAACATAGCTGTTAAAAAGTATGTGTTACATTGGATATGTGCAGTGTGCTTATCTGCCTCGGGGGATTAAAAATCGTACTGTTTGCAGGAACAAAGGAATCAATCAATTCATCATATCAATTTTATTATTACGTTTGCTGCGCAGTGTTGCTCAGTATTAAGATAACATAAGAGATAAGTAGCTAAAGCTTTTAATAAGTGCATGTACACAATAATGGTATGTACATTTGTGTATAGTTTCATAAAATAATGTACGTATTACCTGTACAGTACGAGTCCCACCCTGCTTCATGGTATGTTTGGTTAGGAGCAAAAGGCCTGCTCAGCTCAATTTCATTGGCCCACATGTGCAACTTCATGAATTTCCTTTCCGCAAAGAACTCGTAAAGGCTGCAAACGAAAATACAATACGTTATAACGATACAATACAATAAACTCACTATTATATAATCAGCCATTTTTAAAAGCCGTCCGTTTGTTTGTCTACACAGATAATAGCTTTAACGAATTACTTATTTCAATGTTTTCCAACTGAATATTTCTACGAGAACCACTAATCTTGTATTGTTTATTATTGAACCACGATTCAGTGGTTTTTAAGTTATAATGATATAATTGAGAGAGTGTTATGTAAACATGATCTATATTTACGATACACATTTTTGTACCAAAATATTTTTGTAGAATTAGTCAGAAGGTAGAAAAAATAAGCTGTATGAGTTTATAACATAAATACTTTAATAGTATTTGACTCACTCTTGTAATGCGTTCGACTTCCAACATTCATTGTGCGGGAGCTTCTTAGCCATAATGCTAGATAAATATTTTGTGTCATATAGAACTGGGAACATATTGTGAACGTTCTTCTTAAAGTCCTTGTATTTGTTTGGTAGAGGTCCTATGAACTGATTATGGAGTATTATGGTGTCTATAAATAAGTTGTGTCCAGCGATAGGTTTCTGTGATTCCGCTAGGAGTGCTATGACTCTTGAAAACCCGAGCAAACCGTCCAATAGATTATTTTCAAGTTCTTCTCTAGGAGTGCTGATGGCGCCCTCTACATTTACATTCCGGTATATTAGGATCTGAAAAAAAAAGGAAAAAATGAACTTAGTAAATTGTTTACAATATTAAATAACTCTAGATTATTAAAAGTAAAGATTCTTTCTTTCTTTCAAGATGAAATAAGGTCACATTACACTTACTCATCTTGTGTAATCATGTTGCTATATTATAAAAATGAAAAGAAATCAACAGTGGCATTAAGTGCCGAAAGGTGCATCTTTGCCTACCCCTTTGGGGACAAAAAGGCGTGATGTTATGTTATAAGAAATAAACAGTTTAAAAAAATATATAAAAAAATAATCAAATAAAGAATTACGTTCTTAACTAAATTAACTAAAAATCGCGGGTTATTCACGTGAATATACTGAGAAAAGCTCTACTAGTTGTACATCAGTAGTCTACTGATGTAGGCTGTGCGACAATGCCGCGTCCGTGCGCGGTGCTCATGAGGAACAGCCCCTCTGTGGCTCGAAACTAGTAGAGTTTATCTTAGTATATTCACGTGAGTAACCCGCGATTTTTAGTTAATTTTGTATGTCTCACGATAGTTATTATAAAACAATTACCTTCTTACTATCACCTAAGCTATTTGTGGTGACTACGTTGGGGAAACGCATTCTAACTTCAATATGTGTAACATAACGAAGTATATGATTTGGGACATTCAGGTACATGGTGCCATCATTGCTTCTTATTAACCACCTGTAAATTAAAAATACGTTTTTATTGTCTCCTCCATTACTCGTGTGGTTGAAAGTACATACATATCAAGTTATCCAAAAGCACTATTTTCATTTTTGATCTCTTTGACTGGATTTTGGTGTTATATTGTTCTTGAACAATCAAACCAATAAAACTATGTAGCTAGGTAATTATATTGTGGACGTGATTGAAAAAGAGTAACCTATGGAGTTTTAAATGAAATGAAATGTGTTTATTCATCATAAGAAATGAACGCCAGGAACAAAAAAAATATATATTATAACAAAATAACAATAAAGAGGTTTAAAAACAGAGAGTAAAAAAGATAAGCTAAATTATAAAACTAAACCAAGCTAATAATAGTAGGCACTACATACTACGCAGTGTTGGCAGACATGCCCAACCCTGAATGGGTTGCCAACTCAGCAAAAAGCTGGGCACAATGAGCTCCCAACACTGATTTTCAGTTGTTCTTGGTTTCTTGCTCGTTCTTCTCCATAGGAAGAATGGAATGAGCAAATAGCTTCACTTTTAAATTAACATGTTAATGTTTAAAAGTGCCTTCCTGGTCTAATTGAAATAATTGATTTTGACTTTGACCAGTTGATCATGATCCCTTTGTCTGATTTTTCCGCAAGTTCGACGGTCAGTTTAACTGGTTTTGTATAGCTTGGTGTGTAGCCGTGTGTACAACTGCCAAGTACCAGGGAGTTGTAGGTTCGCAGTAATTATGTAGTGTTAAGATATTGTGTCTGGTATATGACAACTTAAAAATTACCGATACCTTGTGAAAAGTGGATGTATATGGGACACACTGAACCTTTTTGTAACTTTCTCCTAGGTCCTTTTTGCATAAACAAATGCAAAATTAAAATACCTAATCATTACACACAGAACTAGAACAATAATTTGTGGTTCCTACCCATAATTGTTTCATATGAGTATTGAACTCGTGGAACATTGCGTTGTGTTTCATTGCACTGTGCTCACCATACAGATAAACTAGCAGTAACAAATACTTGTGTTATGCATCAATATTAACCCGTCGTATGTCTAAACGTGGATCCACACGAGACACAATTTATTTTCTATTAATATATACATAAAATATTATAAAATTATTATCATACTTAGAAACTTCCGAGCAGTAGTCTTGTAACAGTTTTTCATCATCCATCTGCAGCGTTCTTGTCAGCTGATTAAATAATATGTTTTCTTTTAAATTTTGTCTTACTACAGCTTCCTCAGCTTTGCTTAAGTATGGCACTCCTCCATATATGAACTGGAAAAATATATAACATTTTAATAAAAAATATATTGTATAAAACATGTTATTCTATTATCCATTTCATATTCAAAATGAAATATAGACCTGTCTATTCAAAATGAACTGGAATTAGTCACTTGCAATATTGATACATTGAATGAAATATATACTTATTTCGGAATACTGAAACGCTACTCAATTTTAAGTCGTGCTTAAGCATAGTTTTATCTCTACAAATTCTTTGTAAAATGACAGAGATGGCACAATATTTGAGCACGACTTAACATTAAGTAATGTTTCAGTATTCCAACATTAGAATACAAAATAGTAAAAAAAGAGACTCTTAAAAACAAGGTTTTGTTACATAACTGTTCTGAAAATATTAAAATATACTTTTCTTTTTCAACATTTACTTTCTATGTCATCACATAACTTAGCTGCATGATTTAAATGTCCTTTGTATGTATTAAATTTTAATGTCCGATGTAATAGGGGGTGAGCCTATTGTGTATTAGGGGTAAGCCTATTGTCAATGTGTTTAGTCAATAGACTTGTTTGATGTGATTCTCTTTAATTGAAGAAAAACTAGGCTTACATTATGTTTAGTATTCTATACTATAGTATATAAGTCAGTAATTCCATCTTTTGTTGGAGGTCCAAATTAATACATCAATAATGTTAAAGATAATATAATAACTTATCATTGTTTACCTTATTAAAATCGAAATGGTGTCTGCGTAGGAACTTCAGTGTGGAGGCTAGAAAAACGAAGCTCTGGTCGATTTCCGAAAAGGATTGTGGACACAAATAGAATGTATAAGATTTGGCTTTGTACCTGTCACGATCCCTGTGATATTCAAACATAGTCAAACCTACTTGTGTCATTATTAACTGATCTGCATCATTCTTGATCAAATTGTATCTTTCTTCGTTGGTATCAAATAATCTGAAAAGAGGTTATACATGTGCAAATTAAAGGAGAGTTAAAAAAATATAGGACAATGCAAAACCATGTTATATTGCTGTTATTGTTAGTCTAAAGTCTAGTCTAGACTTAGAATTAACATCAAACCAATCCTACAAGTAATGTAATCATGAAAGGTACAAATTTAATTTCTTAAAAATAATAATTATTTTTATTTTAAATAACCATGTGCGTAGTTTCTTTTACGAGTTTATTATCTTTCTAAGCGTATAGATTGGGGTTGATACTGTAGTACATTGATCAACAGTTGCAAACAAAAAGGTTATGCACTAAGACTAAAATAGAAAAGTTATTGTAAAATCAAGGTATGTTCCCTAGGTAAGTTGCTGTCGATAGAGTATTTAAGGTCCAATAGAGGATGTGAATATATTTTTGATTCCTTACCTATGTTTAAACTTATCGCCAGATAAAAGCGCGTTGAACTCCGCGTCAAAGGAGACAAAACAAGCCTTCTTCAAATCACTTTTAAAGTTGTCAAATTCTTCGTCGAAATTCTCGTTTGTTACTTCCATATTGATTTGATATTATCTTGTAATAATTTAATGTTTAAATCTTGGCGTGGTATTCTTTGTTTGGTAAATATTCTTAGCACAAGCTTCAAGCGTGCGCGACAATAACAAATGATTGTTGTCACTGTCAAGTGTCAAATCTGTAATCTGTCTAGTCTAGTGAGTAAACTATATTATATCGATAATCGGATAAACATCGATATATCGATGACATAAATTATCAGGTGATCAATATTAACCACAAATCATATTAACTGCTGTAACGGCTAAAACAACAGTAAATAATAATAAAAAAATTGGTTAATAATAAAAAAGGTTCCGTTTTAAATTAGAAACAGTAAAATAAGAAACGAAAAACGAATGGCTGAAATTTTCATTGAAAAATTAAAGATATGTGTAAAAATGTTAAGATTTTTTAACAAAACAATTATTATAGGTATAGAATATAAAATACTTTTTCAAATTCTTTTCTCAAATGTGCAAATCCCTCATGTTAAAAAAATACTATGTTTCTTCACACATATAGGAAAATTATTATAACATACATTAAAAAATATTAAAATATAAACGTAGTGTAGAATAGAATTCCTAGCACCATAATTATCTAAAATTATTTAGAAATCGGTTAAAAAAAGATAATATCGATATAAGACTACTAGACTGAGCTATGCATCACTTGGCCTGTCAATATGACAGTGTCATTTCTATTAAACGTCAGGAATATTAATTATTTTGTGTGTAGTTATAACGTTGAAACATTTGAAACACATAATATAAATAAGTAACAATATTTACGTAATATTCTGGTTAATTTAATTGAAAATTTATCCAAGCACATTACAATGTTTCATATATTCGCTTTATGCCAAAACTAATATCTGGTTGTAATAAATTGGGAATGTCATTAATTGAAACTAAATGAAAAATAAATATTATTGTTTTTAAATTACACAAATGGCTTTCAATCGCCACTTCGCTGATTGTAAGTGGTTTTTTTTGTAGGTACTAAAGAGTTTTTATTAATCGAAACTATCGGGTTTAGCCACTGGTTTAGCCAACGAAAGGAGTCAAAAATATGGCGCCAATTAAACTGGCCATAGACTGGAAAATAAAAAGTATGTATCAACTTCGTTCTGCAGCAAAAAGAACCTTTCGAAACTTACGAATCAACTCCGTGTCAGGATTGTGTAGCTAGGATAAACAGGTCTTGATTTTTCAGCTTTCGTTTGGCCAGACTCCAGATAAGCGATTTTTCTGATAAATACCCAATATACCGAGTAAATACTGAGTAGATAAGTAATCAGTTTTTACTGGAGTATTAATCGGAAAAAATCGGTCGACCAATAGATGGTGTGATTTTTAATTGATAGATCCGATAGATCGTTAATGAGAGATAGACACTACTTTCCACTACCTATATTCAGTGTAACAACAACCTTTCATCTAAGTATTGCCGCACCATCTTAAGGAGAATTTTGTAAAAAATGAGAAAATCAATAACATTATCCAACTTAGGAATTGGACCCCACTTGCCAAACAAGGCAGATAAACATAGCACAAGGATTAAGAAATCGTATAGGAACGAATAACCTGTGTATTAGGGTCAATAATGTAAGTACGGCTATGTCTAATTCAAGTAGGTAATCAAAATAAACCTAGGCCTTCGATCTATTCGTACAAATCCCCGAGCGTACGGTGTGTCGCATTCCGCGCGCGCCTCAAAGAACCATCAGACCACCACGGATGGGGCCCAACAGGGCTGATGCCGATTCGGAGTCGCAGAGAACCTAACGGGTTACCAGGGCTCCGGCTCGACGTGCAGGAGAAGGAACGGGTTGGTTTTTAGTCAGTACGAGTCTGACACTCCCTCCCGCCTCAACCAGATTTTTTACCACGTAAAAAAAAAATTCGTAGGTACAAATTGACATAGGAATTTGCCTGGACGTCTACATACTTTCCAATCTGATGAAGACATGTACGGTAGTTGAACTAGATTATTATTTGTACGATAATAATCTAAATCTGTCATCGATATAATTTATATTTGATTGGCTAATACAATATTTTTTGCTGACTATTATTTTATTGATTAACGTGTCTATGCAAACGAATCAATTATTTAACACGTACTGAAATGACCTAAATCGAAAAAGTAAACAGGTAGGTAATAAGCTGGTTACAGAGTGTCTTAGTGTATTTATTTGACTATGTTATCAAAGTCAAAATCATTTATTTCAATTAGAATACAAAGGCACTTTTGAAAGTCAACAAAAAAATTAAAAGTGAATCTATTTGCTCATTACAAGGTGTAGATTGCTATGGAGAAGAACGAGTAAGAAACTCCATAGGTTACGGTTTTTCAATCAGTTCTCTAGTTAGATACATAGTGTTGTTAATTAACACCAACAATGAATCATAGGAACTTGTACATAATAATTCTAGAAATTCTTAGTAGGGATAACTAGAGCGTTTTATGATAATAGAAACTCGTTAATTATTTATTAGAAAAAATACTTGACCTAGAAGTCGACCCAAGACAAGACCCTATACCTAAATGCTCTAGTTCTATTTCAAATAATATTAAATGTGATTAACTATAATAATTACAACAAAACTCTTATTGGTTGACCGTAAAGTCATTGTAGAATCAGACCCACTATTCATTAAAATACATATACATAATGTACTTAGACAAGATTTTCTATAACTATACGTTTAGCGCTAATAAAGTCACACAAAATCTGTCTATAGTTGACACACATAACATTATTAATTTTAGGAGCTATGTCGTTGCAAAAAGAGACATGCTGATATTTTATTTACATTTAATTAACAATAATTAGGTACACAGTTATTGCGTCGACTGTGTAACACGTAACTCGCTGTAAGTGGTCAGCATGGTGGAAATTAATGTAACGGTTGCACAATGTAAAATTGCGTAACGTGCAGAGAGAGTTCATTGCTGCCCCTCAATTTACTTCCCAATTCGAGGCCCAATCGAACCTCTTGCAATGCTGCGGATCATGGTGGTGCACGATGTTGCAACGGTTAGAGGCGACGGCTCACGACCATACCAGTCGCCACTTCGTGGTCGACTCGCGTAGTCGCGAACGCTATACCTCTCACTTTCTTGTATCGAACACAACTTCGAAAAATAATCATGTAATCTCGTGTTCGTGTTGGACCATAGACGAATAAGTTTTTCTCATTAATCATGGAGTCGGAAAAAGAGGCGAGTCAAGTGCGTGAAGTGTCTTTGGTTAAGCCAAATTACATGCTGATGTCCTTGCAGAGGATATTCGTGTTAACTGTAATAATAGCTGGAGTTCTTGTTGTTGTACATTATACGCCGATGCCAGGTAAACACATTTTTTTATTGTTTTTTGTTTACGTTATGAATTAAGTTGACCTTACTATTAGTAGGTAGGTACTTCTACCTAGTGAGGACCGAAAGGGCAATAGTTACACAACTATCTAAGCAGTTTAGTATATCTATTTATCTGTTATACTTAAGAGTTATCGGCTTTCGAAACATCAAATAAACTTCATGTAAACAGTAATTGGGAAACTACGAGTTCATCAATTTAGGAGTTAACATTAGAACTTTAGATAATAGTGGAATGTAAGCTAAAGATCGATTAAAACTTGTTGGAAATGAATAGTAGTCTGTATCGCAAGGAAGTAGCTACGTTTGTACGTGCATAAAAGACGTGTTTTGCAATCGATCACTTTTGTAATGTTCGCGGAATCGATCGTTGAGACGGTTTCCCAGTAAACTTCGATGAATGAAGTTAGGTACTACTAAGCAAGTATGTACTTGCGTACCTATACTGAGTACCTTGAACGCTTTGTGATTATTTTAAAATGCTTATTCGCATGATAATACAATCGACGTAATAGTTCAAACTAATAAATAATTCTAATTAATTATTATTGTTTACAGAGGAGTATTTCGAGAACTGTGACCGAGAATGTCATGAGTTGGATTGGCCAATGATATGCCGTGTGAAACTAGTCATCGAAGTCTACAAGACGCTTAGCAAGTAAGCATCAGTTTTGACATCCTTACGAAATGCGGTTATTACCAGTGATTTTATTTCTGCATTGCTAAATTCATGTTGTACTAATATGTGAAAACTACAAACTGACTATATTTTTTTGCGTTTTAGATCTTGTGGCAGTTGCACAGAAAAGGATGGTGGCGACTGTCCAGCAACATGTATATCCGCAGACGGACGGGAGCGCGGCGTTCTGGTTGCCAACAGGGCTCTACCAGCCCCCACACTACACGTCTGTGAAAACGATATCTTAGTTGTAGATGTGGTGCACCGAGCTCCTGCACACGCGCTCTCCATCCACTGGAGAGGACAGCCACAGAAGGAGACACCCTTCATGGATGGAGCTCCTATGCTCACACAGTGTCCTCAGCCGGCGTACACAACATTCCAGTACAAATTCCGGGCATCCGCTGTAGGCACGCATATGTACCACGCACACTCGGCTGCGGATGCCGCCGATGGTCTCGCGGGAGCGTTTGTTGTCCGACAATCCCCTCGTTTAGACCCTATAAAAAATTGTATGATGTGGACGCCACCGAACACACTATATTTGTGTCCGAATGGGGCATTCTATGGGCCCACTAGCTGGGGTCGTATCACGTATTCCAAACGCCGAATCTCTTCTCATAAACGGTAAAGGGAAATCATCCGAATCTCCAGACTCTCCGCAGTCGTCCTTTAAAGTGGAATACGGAAAAAGATATAGATTCCGGTTGGCTTACGGAGGAGGATCAAAGAGTTGTCCAATTAAATTTTCAGTTGATCGTCATACTTTACAAGTTGTGACTTTAGATGGCCACCAAATTGAACCGGAGCGTGTGAATTCAATAGAGTTGGGTAGAGGCGAGCGAGTTGATTTTATCTTGGAAGCTAAAAGAGTACCCGGTGCTTACAAGATAAGAGTAGCAGCGGTAAAGAGTTGTCAGGACAATTTAGAAGGTGAAGCCAATTTAGTGTACGATAGTAAAGGGCAAAAAGTGTTGCATAAAGATGACGACATAGTTGATGCAGAAGTGTATCGCGAGTTGACGACAGTGTCTAGTGAACGATGTGATTTGGACAATGTGATATGTTTGCACGAGATCCACTCGGCTAACAAGCTCCCTGCGGAACTAGCGGAGAATCTCGACAATATCATTTACGTGCCTTTTAATTATTCTACAAGACAAATTTCGGCGAAACGAGTCGGTGAGTAATGTAATTGTATATTGTTTAAAAACTTTCTTTTGTGTTACATTAACTGGTCAGAAGTGGTATGAATGTTTTAGCGTTATGTGCGCGCTAATGAGTTTTAGATGGATGAAAGTTTTTGGCTCTTTATTTTGTAGTTAAGCTATTATCCAAATAGATATTACCAATTACGTGTCTAGATATATATCTGTTGTGATATAATGCGCGTATTGTTTTCATAATTAAGTAATCCGTGATTTGAAAACATATCGGACGCAAGATAATACATAGTATATAGGAATTATTGATCTAGAACACTTTAATTCTTATACTTATTATTTTATCTGATTACGACGACTGTTTCTAGGCTTTCAGACTAATCTCTCATATCTAGAAGGCTAATCAATCTCAAAGCACAAAACAATAAATTATGGCGATAGACAGGCGGATATATTTTACTTTCATTAACGGTTCGATTTCAGGTGGTAGTGTCTATCGCTTAACGTTTGATGAAAGTGTAATAGTAGGTTATCATATAGGTACTACATATATTGTTGTATTTTTATTTATTTAATTTTTTGCAACAAGAATAGGGTGGTCTTAATGCCATGGGCATGCTTACTAGCCAACCTTTAGGTGTGATGCAGCGAGAGCGTGGTCGGCTGTAGATATTGTGATTGTGGAGATGATTGTTTGTTGCTCTTTAGGGCAAATAGGTCATTTTCTAGTAAGAAATATTTCGATGTTGATAGCTTTAGTAATTAGATATTTAATAACTAAACTATGATAAAAAGACACTGAATAAGTACATGTCTCTATAGATACGTGTAAACCAAGGGTTTTGATATTGTGTTTTGATATTAATGACTATGTTTTATTTTATAACATAGGTACCTGTTCCATCCAGTTTTGTTTTTTTATCGTAGATTTACTTTGTTATTACGTTTTACATTTGCAATTCAAATTGAATCGTTAAATTATCAAAGTTAAATATATCAAACAAACAAAGAATCTGGTTTAGACGATATTTATATTAAAACTTTATGAGACATAGGTACTGAATTAATTATTACGTTTCGGCTTACACATTAAGTGAGGTTTAGACTACTTCTATTATTGGCTTGTTCATCGACATCATTGACATATCAGCTACAAGACGGCCAGTATTGAACATAGGACTGCCCCAATGGCTTTCAGATCGGTCGGTTGGAAACGACATGCAATCTGTAGCTCCCTATGACCTTTATCAGTCATCTGTCCACCGTGGAACTTGTTATATACCCTAATAACCAGATCTGACCGGTTAAAAATGCATTAAAATAAAAAAAAAGTTTTGACAACTTTAACTAAAAAAAAAAACATAAGCGAATTTAAATACTTAGTCACCTTTCGAAATTTGAAAGTGTTAAGTTAAATATCATTTTGAATATTTTTATCCTCATTTGTAATTTTACTTCGTTTGTTTTGCCTGCTTCGTTGGTCGAAGATCTTTTTTATTTTTCATCTTACAGAACAGTCGAAAGTGAAAATGATTATCAGTTTAACTCATCGTTAGATGTTGATTTAATAATACTGGCGAAAACTGGCTGTAATGTTAGCACACTTTAGTCTTTTCGTTATTTGTAATATTTATTTTTTTATTTATTTATTTATTGACACTTCTGTATAATAAACATACGATGGCGGACTTAATGCCATGTGGCATTCTCTAACAGTCAACCATGGGGTGATGCAGAGATGTGCAACAGTAGGTGTAATAGGTAGATATAATGGTATATGTGACAGAAAAATCTATATAAATAAATTTATGATTATGCATAACTGTAAATACATACATATATCCGTATATATAGGTATAATATAAATTACATAAGATACATTATCAATATTACTAAATAACAATACTATAAAAGTAAATAAATAGATTGGGGATAAAACTACATAACTATTACCTGCAACAAAAATGGCGGGTACGGGTAGTGAGAATTGAAAATTAAATTGGTCAAACATGTGTTGTGTTTGTCGAAGAGACGTGAAGTACTAACGTAATGTCAATATTTGTCTCTTTCTGGGTCAAAGTTGAAGGTTATCTTTTCATTTTCGTCGGTCGATTCGTGGCAAGTGGCCAGGAGCCGAAAGCATAACAATGTCAAAAGGGTTTTAAGAGCCTTCGCTACCATTTTTCTTATTATTACTGGGACAATGTGAAAACATTCTAGTAAATGAGATGTTTTTTAACAGCTTTCGGCTTTTTGTGGGTATTCTAGCAACCTAGTTAGAGTGTTGTGTACCTAATACTTTTTACAGATGGAACGTTTCGAATAAAAAAATAACAAACAATTTATAGTCTCCATGCATTTAAAAAAATTACCAGTAATAACTTACACACCTATTTAAAGAAAAAAAACAAACAAAATTACCTAACAGCTATAATCGACCTTGAAACAGTAAGCTGAATTCGAATGAAGTAATAATCGATTAATTTATTTAAGAGTCTAGCTTCGTCTGCTAGCGAAACAGATATAAAAAACTAGTTTTTTTGCAAACTCAACGACTCGTTCTTACCCACATATACATAGTTCTAAACAAGTCGTTCGTCGCAAGTTATGAACATTTTAAGTTATATAATACATAAGCAAGAGAATATGTTAGTAGGTCACGTCACTTATTTCGAAAATACAATCTAATCGTTATTATATTTAACTATTATGTACTGAGAATAGCTGTAATGTGCGTATTTTGTGGATAAAGATAACAGCACTAGAACCTCTTAAGCCGGTTAATGTAGAGTAACATATTTTTGTGTCACTTACGCGAAATGTATTTCTGTTTATTGTTATCTAAGTAGACTTTACCTTTCGACGTATTATGAAATGTGGTTATATTGATCGGACATGAGTGCTACTGTTGAGGTTCTTAAGTTAGAAACATTCGTTAAATATTTAATACTAGCTTTTACCCGCGGCTTCTCTCGCGTCACAAAAGGATAAAAGTAGCCTATGTGATATATACCAATACACACAGCGCCATCTATACGAATACTTTTGTTTTCCCTCGGGAATATCACATTTTTGAGGGATAAAAAGTACCCTATTATTTAATCCGGACTTCTAACTTTACGTCTGTAAAAATTCAAAGCAATCGGTTTAGTAGTTACGGCGTGAAAGCGGAACAAACAAACAAAAAAACAAACTCACTTTCCGATTTATAATATTAGTAAGGATATTTTAGAGTAAGGCAACAGATATGAAACTCAAATAATCATATTTTATGAGTTTAACTATGAAATGAAATGGATAAAATCGGTGAAGAACAAGATCTCACAATTATTAACCTTAATTGTGCAACCTTCTTAGGAATAAGGACTAATGTTGTATAGGACGATGATACTGTGTCATCCCTAATAGCTAGTGTATTAAATATTCTAGTGTTAGCGAATAATGATTGACATTCAGTGCTGACCCCCAACCTACTTGGAAAAAGGCCACGGCTCATTGAGAAAGACGCATACTAGGAATTACGTGACAGACAGTCATTATATTGTCTCATTGTATTGTATCATTTACATATCACTGAAATGTATTTATTAGGATCTCTCTTTGATAATGTCCTATGTCTCATCCATCCAATCTTCTTCATTGAAATTGGGTCTAATTTCTAGCCTTTGCGAATTTTGTTATCTTCTTTAATTAGATTTAGACTGAACTGGATTACTTGTATTCAAAATAAATCCTAAATGTTTTTTCCAAAAAATTATAATCATTTATTTATTTATAACATATATAGGTGGTATTACATGAATGTTCATAAGTTAATAACAGGTTTAGTTACACTATATTTAAAAGAACGAGTTAGTATCTATTTTTAAGAGCCTGAGTTTGTATCATTAGTAGAAACGTCACAAATGTAATCATAGTTCTCGAAGTCATAGCATTGATTGATGATTTTTGTGGAATTTTAGCTATCTCTATAGTTTCCGTTATGGTGTATGAGTTGCATCTAATCGAGTATCATTCATCAATCTGTTGTATCAGCACCGCCACCCTCGGTAATATTGGCTCTCGTACTAAGAGCTGAACGATCATTGGTTATTGAGTAGTGTAGTAGATGCAGCGTGATCTTTATTTTCTACGGATGAAATAAATGCTTGCTAGTTACGTCCATGTTGAATAGTATAAATATGATTGAATTTCTTTGTTTGTTGAACAGATATAATCTGCTCTTTCCATTAAGACTTTACAAATTTAATAAATGAATAGAAATTTTATGAAAATATAGTATTAATCTACCATTCGTTAACATATTATTAAGTATTACTTACTTTACTTTACCATAAAAGCGAAGTTCTAGCTGCTAACGTTTGTTACGATTTATTGATAGTTTGGAATATAAGCAAAATGAGTACGGTAATACAGAGAAGTCTTTATACGTTTATGCAAAGCAAAATTAATAGCTATTCGTCAGCCATTAGTTGTCCTAATACCAATATTTTTTACTAAAAATATTAGTATCTATATATATAAAAATCAATGCCACTTTTCGTTGTAATTCCATAACTCAAGAACGGGCTCACCTATCCAAACCAAATGCTTAGGATTTGGTCGGCATATTTAGTAGATGGTTTATGTGAAGTTTGCACAAAATCGGTCGAGCGGTTCCTCATTTGTCACATTTTTTGTAATAAATGAATTCAATAGAAACTTTTTTCACAGAAACTTTTTTGAAGTTTTGTTGACAGGACAAGCACGTTGTTATGTCATTCATGCCGTCAGTTCATTTTGGACGTGGTTTGATTAAAGCATATTATCAGCGATAAATTTCTTTTCACATAATTGCATTTGCAGTGCATTCATACAAACGGTGAGTCCTGAATTTATGTGTACTTTTCTAAGTTGCCGTATATGATTTCACATAGCGTCATATGCGACAGCTTCTTGGGAATTTGTTTTTTTTTTTGTTCTAATTTTTTTTTTCGATTTTTAAGCGAAAACATATGTGCATACGGGAAAAATGCCACC